GCTGAGGAGCCACGGGATAAGGGGTGTGGGGGAGCAGAGGGGAGGGCAGTGGGACAGGGAGGGGTAAGTAGCGGCGTGGGGTGTATTTACAGCTGGTCTGCGTTTGAGGTTCGAAGGGAAATAAGTCGAGGTGTGAAGGGGAATAAGTCAAGGTGTTGGTGGTGTTTCTTGGCCCTTGGGCTAACTCCGTGGTTTTGATATTTCTCTCCCTTAGACTGCGGAGTCCATGCTCCGTCCCGCTGGAGCGGCTCCGGCCTGTCTTGTGATCCCAGTAAGAACGAAGAAGAGGTTTTCTGTCCCTGAATGGGCCAGAGAATTGACCCCTGAACAGAAGGAGAAGAGACTCAAATCTCTGGGAGCCGTAATTCCTGAGGAACGGATAGAACGGACGTTCTACTTGGCCTGCACAGGTGGTAGAAAGCCTGCTTTCCTCCCTTCTCCAGGGCAGAACTCCTGCAGAGTGGCAGCGTGGAGCGGTTAGCCTTAGCGGTGTGACTGTGGTGACGGGGAGCGGCTGTCTGCACCCGCCTGGTCTGTACGCTGCCTCCTGGTGAGAGGTAGCAGCTGCCCTGCTTTAGCTCAGACGTTTGGCGAGCTGTTGGCGCCTTCGTGCCTAGGGACAAGGAACAGCAAGGGCGGTGGCGGTTGCTGCTGCCGAGTGGGTCTTACCCCGGGCTGTAATGGAAGAGGAGAGCAGGTAGCAAGCACTTGTCACTGCGGACAAGCTGTGCCAGACTAGCACTTCTCTGAGTGCTCATATTTAATCTTACAAACATTATCAGGGCGGAATCCTGCATCTCCAGCCCCTGGCAGCCAGGGTGCTGCCTCTTTGTTTCCTTCGTTTTGCTGTTCTTGAGCCTCCTCCTGACCTTTCTTCTCTCCCGTGCAGCTGATATTATAGACCCGTACATCCCTCCGGAGGGCGATGCCCGCTTGACTCCCCTATCCAGAGATGGGCTGAAGCAAAAGATGGATAAGCTGAAGCAGACTGCCGCCTCCCAGCTGGCGTACGTACCTCCTTCCTCGTTCACCTGGGGTGCAGAAGTTTCGCTCGGTTCCATCTTGCAGCGGAGGGGTGGCACGTTTTGTTTTCTACCCACTTTTTCCATCGCCGCTGTTGCAGTGCTTAACCGGGAGCCTGGGCATGAGGGTGAGCACAAGGCACGTGTCTCGCTGTGAGCGCGTGCAGCATGTGCTCCTTTCCTTGAGGGTTGTTTGGGTTTGCAGCACAACGTCTGTTTGACGAGCACCCAGAGATTATGTCTTAGTGGGGACTCTCCGGTTCTCAGTTGCTCCCTGGTAAAAGCTGGATTTGAACCGAGTAAGATCACTGTCACCACCCAAAACTTGCAAGAGATATCCAAGCTGTTCTTTTCTTACCGTAGAACTTTTCTTGTTTTTTTTAGTTTGCGGAAGATTAAAAATCACGATCCGGATTTCAGCACTAAAACCTTCCCGGAGAAGGCGCAAGAGATATTTATTGAAGCTCACAATTCCCTGGCAAAGTAAGACCCCTCCTCTGACTCATGTGTTTACGCAGGACCTGCTGCACTTGGCTTATACGCCCTGATTTTCCTCCTTGTCTTTCTGATCCTTGTACTCCACAACAAGTACTGTCTCTTTTTCTGCCTCCGCCTCTGCGAAGAGCAGAGTGTTGGAGAGCTGCTCAGTAACCTCTTGGTTGGATAATAAAAAACAGGTTGCAGAACAATTCCTCCTCACCTGACCTGCAACGGAAACGAGCTGTTGCGCCACCGGTGTTATCAGCAGATGAGTGGGTGGTTGGTGCTGTTCAGAATCGCGCTGCAGGGAATTGTTTGGATACGAAATGATACTCCGCTGGCTTCCTCTGCTTTCCAGTAATAGAACAGGTTTCAAAACTGCATCGTTCTTGGTTACAATTCCAAACATCTGTAAAAATATTGAGGTCATAACTGGCTTCCAAGTGATGTTGTTGTGTCTTACCCTGAAGTCTGGTCTTGCTCATGTTCTGATTTCGTGCTGAGATTTTTGCCTTTTTTGTTTTGCCAGTATATTGTGTGTATTCCAGGGAAGCAGGAATTTGTGAGTAAACCTCTCTACGACCTGTGTATTCAAGTAACTGGGTGTGTTTCACTTGCAGTTTTAACAAGCAGAAGCTCCACTCCCTGGTGACAGAGCGCTGCTACCCGGTAAGCGTTTATCTGGATGTAGCGTGTCCTTCATCCCTTCCATGGTCCTTAAATGATCGTCTGTCTCATTTTTTTTCTGGATATGGTAAGGACAGAGCTGGGAGGGAAAGCACAAGTCTAATTAATAGCTAAGGAATAAATGCTTCATTATATATAGTAGTTTGCTTGTCACTCGATTCACATCCTAATTAACTTGGTGCTTCCTTTTTCCTTTATAGGAAATGGTCCATGGGAACAGGTACAAGACCATCCGGTGGAGTTTTGTGGAATCGCTGGAGCCTCCAAGGGTGGTTCACATCCGATGCGACAGCATTGTCAACCGTGGCAACCTGTACGGCCAGGTGACGGTGCGGATGCACACGCGGCAGGTGCGTCCACCCTCGTGCCCCTCGCGTTTCCCGGCTGGATCCGACCTGCTGCCAGCCCGACATCTGTTCCTCGGCTCGTTTTGCAGATTCTGGCCATCTATGACCGCTTTGGGCGGCTGATGTACGGTGGGGAGCAGGTGCCCAAGGACGTTTTGGAGTATGTTGTGTTTGAGAGGTACTTGGTGAATCCGTATGGCACGTGGCGGATGCATGGCAAGATCGTTCCGGAGTGGGCTCCGCCGAAGGAGCCCATTGTTAAGGTAATGCCACCGGGAAAAGGCGCCGGCGTGGCCCATCTGCGAAACTTAATGTCCCAGTTAATTCTGGACAAAACCGAAGCTGAGCTTCCTGTGACGGGAAGGTGATGGATTAATCTCCAAGGACACCTATTGATGGATGCAGCATCATCAGCCACTGGCACCTGGGGGCTGTAAGAGGGGGCTGAGGGCGTTTGACACGTGTGTGATAATTTAGGGGGTTACTGCTGCCTGTACAGAAGTAATGCAGTTGCTCTGCCTTCCTGCCTCAGTAAAAACAGGTCCTAGAGAGGAAGGAGGTGGGAACGACACTCTAGTACAAGGCATGTCATCCCGTTCTCCCTCTGCGTCCTCCCCCGTGCTGCTGCCATCTGGTCACCTTCCGGCGCAAGGCCTTTGCGCTGCCAGAACCCCCTGCTCGCCCTCTCTCGTGCTCTGCAGCGGGAAGGATCCCCTTTCCGGCACTTCAGGGCTGCTCTGTGCCCTGCTCATTTTGTTCCTTGCTATTTCAGACAGTGATGATTCCTGGCCCAACCTTGGATCCCTCACAAGAGTATGAAGAAAGGAAGTAGGAGGTTTCGGAGCCGGCGCAGACGGCAGTGCAAACGACCCCGGAGGGAGAATGTCCGTGGAGGTAGCGAGTTGGATACGGCTGTGCCTTTTCAGTCAGCAAACACAGCAGCTTCAGAAAGGGACTCCAGTCACCAAGAAGTTGACTTTAAAGGAGGAAGAGGGGCCTGGGAGGGGGATTCAGATAAGCTCTGCGAAGAGCTGTACTCTGTCCAGGTAGACAGCGTGCCGCAGCTTAACACTCTGCGTTCCTGTGAAGATGAGAAGTCTGTTCTCTTCAGAACTGCTCTCTAGGCTAACCCCTGTCCTCAACTTGCATTGGAAGAGCCCTTGGCGGTGGAATTCTGTTCAGACATGGGATATTTGGCACTTCCATGGGAAGTTTCATAGGCCTGGAGGGCTTTTATTAAAACTTGCAGCAGTTGGTGTTGACGCTTTCTTTTCCCCATCCACTTTCCCTCTCTCTGTGCAAGACCTTTGCATTGCCAGCACCCCCGCTCACCCTTTCTCCTGCAGGTTTCCTGATTCTCAAGCTGCTTATTTTTCACAGAAAACAGGGAGAGAGCAGCAGGCACACTTTAAACCAAATTCCCCTGGGTGGGTACTGCAGCTGGACTCGTGCTGAACTGGTGCTTGTTGAGCCGAGCTTCCCCAAGGGGCTGCAGCACAGCACTGGTAACTTAATAAAATATTTCGACTCCTAAGGTCAGCGCTGGCGTCAACCAAAGCGTTTCTGAGAGGCAGCATTCCTCCTGGAGGGTGGGGTTTGCTGTCTTAGTTACAGAGGCTGAGGAATGCAGCGGTGGGGTGTTAGTGAGTGGCTGGCACCATCCTGTGGACAGGACAACGTTCACATCAGGTCCCCTGGCACGCAGGTTGTGTGGGTTGGGAGCACGTGTACCCAGGTCTGACAGGTTTCTGTGCCTGGGAATAAGCCCAGAGAAGCTGTGGATGCCCCATCCCTGGAAGTGTCCAAGGCCAGGCTGGATGAGGCTTGGAGCAACCTGGTCTAGTGGAAGGTGTCCCTGCCCATGGCAGGGGGTGGGACTGGGTGGGCTTTGAGGTCCCTCCCCACCCAAACCAGTCTCCGATATCTAGGTGATTAACTTGGAAGCCAGCGTGCTCTGCTAATCGGTTCTTGCTCTGTTTTGCTCGGAGAAGTTCCAGTTACCCCTAGTCACAGAGCGAAATATTCACTAGTCACCGAACCATGAAGCATCTTTTCATCCTTGTCTTCCTTTTTAACTCGGCCGTTTTCCAGAGCTCGTGGGAGTTACTCTCCCTGGAAAGCGATTTGACGGGGTGCCCAGTGAAGGAGTTACGGCTCCTTAGGCTTGCGGAGTTGTTCAGCGTTTCTTGTGGATTATGTTCATTTGGAAGGGCAGAATATCATCTATCATGCTCGATGAGGAGCCGGCAATGGAATCCATTCTGTCTCTTTGGAAATCAGAGGGGTGCTGCAATCTGTCTGCCTTTTCTGAAAGAACCTGCTATAGCGAGCCCTCTGCCTCATTCAGGAGCTGAAGTGCTCCAGCGTGCCTGAGCTGGGCCGGGGGCAGGAATAAATCTGCGGGAGCAACCTGGTTTGTGTCTGGTGTGACCCAGGCAGCGCATGGCAGGTATGGATGCGACACCTCACGCACACCAACACGCAAGGGTCTTCAGCTCGGGCTCTGAATGAAAACGGCGTGTTTTCCAGCAGAGTGACTGTTTTTTCTGGGAGAATAGCTTTCCCATCTGGCAGCTTGTGGCTTCCCATCTCCCTTGCCAATATTCAAACCTCTACGACTAAACCACTTGTGTTCCCGGGTTTCCTTCACAGCCCTGAGGCTTTCTGTTCCC